ATTTCTATATTCTTTTCAAAATTTTTTATGTTAAAATGCATCACATTTAGGCAATCTCGCTCAAGAAAATCTTTTAGTTCATTGTTATAAAAATAAGAGCAACTCTTAAACAAAGCTTCACTAAAATAAATTGAATGAATTTCTTTGTTAATAAAAAAATCATTAATTTGAAAAAAATTAAATGAATTTAGCCAAAATTGTTAACATGTTTTGGTCCGTTTTTAGTTTTTAAATATAAAACTAAAAGAATTTTGGTAAAAATGTAAAATTTACATTCATTTAAGAATATTAAGTTAGTAATTAAGAAAATAAAAAAAATTAAAAGTATTCCGTAAAATATTATGCATCAAAAAATAAAATAATGATTTAAACTTGGCAATTTTTTGCGTCAACTTTCTTTTCTGCCCATAAGTTTGTCGTAGGAGATAAATGCATACTTCCCTTGTTCTTGAGGAGATAAACGCATACTTTCCTTGTTCTTAATGAGATAAACACATAGTTTCCTTGTCATTTCATCTTCTTAATCTTTTTTTTTTTGGAACAGTTTCGTAACAAAAATCCTCGTTAATATTAATGTTTATTCCTGTAAGCCTTACAGATCTCTTCATTTTATGCTTACAGATCTCTTCATTTTATGCTTACAGATCTCTTCATTTTATGCTTACAGATCTCTTCATTTTATGCTTACAGATCTCTTCATTTTATGCTTACAGATCTCTTCATTTTATGCTTACAGATCTCTTCATTTTATGCTTACAGATCTCTTCATTTTATGCTTACAGATCTCTTCATTTTATGCTTACAGATCTCTTCATTTTATGCTTACAGATCTCTTCATTTTATGCTTACAGATCTCTTCATTTTATGGTTCAAGAGTATTAAGATTATTGTTCTATTTTTTTAGCATCTCTCTTGGTCCGGATCTATGTGCTCGTTCAAATTTAACATTTTTGATTTCAAGCGTCTCAAATAGTTTCAAAAGTGTATCGAAATTTCAATGTGTTCAAAAGAGTCTGGATTTAGATTTACTCGTGAATACACTACATTTTATCCTCAACATCGTGTTAACTAGTTCTACTTCGCGTATTCGGTATTTTATTTTTGATAAGCGAAGAACATTTTTTGCAATAAAAACAAAAAGTTAAAGTTTGTGAGTAGTTTTTCCATATTAAGTTATTAACTGTAAAAATCCATTTTCGAAACTATACTGTAAAAAATCCATTCCGAAAACTTAAAAGTTCTTCGAAATGTTTTTCCGTTATTTCCATACTTTCCCATAAGTTCATAATTCTAAAACACAACTTCAAAACCATGTTGCAAGAATTTATTCCTGTAATTAAGTTTTTAGGAAAGCTTTAACAAATTTAATCCAGTTGCAAAATATTCTTATTAAAAACACATGCTTCAGATTTAAAATTTTAACGCACTATATACTTTTTAAGTAAAATCTGTCTATTCTTTAATGTAGGTTATTTACAAAGAGAAGAAAAAGTTATTTACAAATAGTTATTTACAAAGAGAAAAAAAAGATGTTATTTTCTAATCTGTTCCCATATAACCAGAAGGCAAAAAAAAAACTACGGCCTAATAATAATATTTTGACATAATTCTTGCAATTAAATTAGTTACATTTATTAGCATAATTAAAAAAAAAAAAAAAAAATACACGCATATGCACATACATAAATATAAGAATATATACACTTACAAATGTATAGATGTACACATACATAAACTGCAAACATTAAAATATAAGCTAGGATCTGAAAAAAGATCACAAGATTTTGTCGTCAGAACCTTATGAAGTATAAACAAGCAAAATAAAGATAAGTATAATATATTAAAAAAATCAAAATTAAATTAAAAAATGTAATAAAACAACCTAGATACTTCTAATATTTTAAAAAAAGTTGAATTACAACTTTTGAAATATTAGAATTATTTAAGTATATTATCAAGTGAAAAAATACATTTTTTTAAATTGATATTGAAAGCTAAAAGGAATTTGGTAGATCAAAACTCCGCAAAACAATATTCCATAGATGGGGTCTACGATAAGCAATGAAAAATTAATTAAACTTTAATTAATTTTTCATTGCTTGGATGGTTTCTCCATAAAAATACAAAACATAAAACTTTAAATATATTGAGTTTAAATAAATATAATAATCTTATTTCAGTAAAAATAGGTTTTGTATGTACAAAACAATCAGCATAGTTAATTATGCGGATCGCATGGTTAAAATGACGACGATAAAAAAGTTTTAACTTTTTACAGTACTTCTCCAAGCAGTTTTAGCATCATTTATGTAACTATGTATAAGAGTAAATAAAATGGCTTAAGCAATTTTTATCAAGGTAGTTACGAACTATATAGAATCTCAATGTTTTTTGAAATTTAAGTAGACACATAATTAATGTGTTGATTCCAGGAGATATTTTCATCAAAATAAAGGCATAAGGATTTTTTAACGGAATCATTTTTTATTTAAATTTTGTCAATATCAAGTTGATATAAATAAAAAAAAATTGCTTTTTTGCATACAAATGGAATAGAGTCGATTTGGTTTTATTAATATTTAATGTTAGCTAATTACATTTAAACTAGTTTGATGTTTGTTTTAGTTTTAGTTCTTTGTTCATAGTAGTAAAAAGTTCATGTATATTACTGCTTGTGAGAAATAGATTGGTATCATCTGGGTACATGATAGCCGTGGGAGCAGTGGTGGCGCAGCAGCCGTGGCGCAGTGGTAGCGCACTTGTCTCAGAAACGTAAGATCCGTGGTTCGAACCCCACCTCTGGGCAAGTTTTGCGACATCGGTTGGGAAGGAGGCGTGAACTTCCTATTAAATGCTCTTCCGCGGTGCTCTGTGATAAGACCGTAAGGACTTCTTGGGGCACCTTAATCAACTTAAAAAAAAAAAAAAAAAAAATGATACATATAAGGTTAGAAGCTTTATTTTAATCATTTATATATATCAAGAAAAGTAGGGATCAAAAAGATTGAACGCTGAGGAGCACCGCTGACAATATCAAGATGTTTGTTTTGATAACTGTCGTTACTAATTACAAACTGTTTTCTTTTTGTTAAGTAGCTTCTAAACCAATTTAAAGCAGTAACTTTAATTTCATAATATTTAAATTTTGAAACTAAAATATGACGAACTACCGTGTCAAAAGCTTTTGATAGGTCAATGAAGATACCTAACAAGTACTGTGATTTTTTTTTTAGATTACGAGATTTCATGCACAAACTGGATTATTGCGTGGTCCGTTGAGTTACTTTTTTTAAAGCCAAAATGTTTTTTATATAGTAAGTTAATTTTGTTAAGATGTTTGTATATTCTATTAGTCATTTTTCTTTCCAAAATATTTGAAAACATCGAAAGAACAGACATGGGACAATAGTTGCTAATATTTGATCTCTCACCTTTTAAGATAGGAGTAACTTTTAAGATAGAAGTACCTTTTAAGATAGGAGTAACTTTTAAGATAGCAGTAACTTTTAAGATAGGAGTACCTTTTAAGATAGAAGTAACTTTTAAGATAGGAGTAACTTTTAAGATAGGTGTAACTTTTAAGATAGGAGTAACCTTTAAGATAAAAGTAACTTTTAAGATAGGAGTAACTTTTAAGATAGGAGTAATTTTTAAGATAGGAGTAACTTTTAAGATAGGACTTTAGGAACTTTTAAATGATCTAATTTTAAGACTTTTTTGTGTGTTTACTGTTATATGCAATGATTTAAAAATGTTTTGATAATGTCAGAACTATATGTAAGAACCAATTTAAAAATAAAGTTTTAAAATTTATTAAATAAAATAAAAATTGACAATAACTAATAAATATCAAATTTTCGGGTTCGTCAAATGTTTGCAGTCATGACTCTGCGCCTTTATATCTTAACTCTGCGCCTTTATATCGAAAAAAAAAAGTTATTTTGATATTGGAATCTAATGTCAAAACAATACCACAGCCTTATTTTAACTGCTTACTTTTCATGTACATAACCTTAAACCATATAAAATGATAGACACGGCGTTTTCTGAAAAAGTTGAAGCCAAAATATTTTTCGCGTATTACCATGTTCACACAGCGATGTTCGGCGGAACATTATTCCGGAACAAATGTTCCTGGAACAAAATGTTCCACAAAATGTTACTTGTAGCGTTCACATGTAAAATTGGCTCGACGGTACATAAAAGAAAAAACGAGTAAAATAACGGTAGGTAAAACTCGAATAAAAATTAGTGACAAACAGTTTGGCAAATACACATTGTTAATATAATTTATTAATTTTTGATATTTAAACATTTATGAGAGGTAAAACTAAATACAAATAACGCTGAGGGTTTAGCTAGCTCAGAGTTAGACAATAGAAACCCAACCCAAAATACCTGACATACAAAAGGTGATGTTGGAATTTTGTTATCCCGTTTTTTGGCTTTTATGGATAGGTCATATCTCCTTTAGTCGCTTTTGACGACACAAAATAGTAGTCCATCAGTGGTATAGTACCGAATAAACATATTATACATTAATATGTTACCCACGACCAGTTAAAACTAATCTCATTTTGTGTTCATACATATTTAATATTTATTTATTTAGACACATTTGATAACCTCAAGGAAAGTAAGTAAATACATAATCATATTACAGCTAAAGCTTTAAATAATAAATAATATTATTACTACTTTACTTGTCCCTTTCATAATGGTATTTAGCAATTGAGTCACGAACATTTTTTTCTGGTCCATTGTTCCCAGTTGTAGAAACTGTATTAGGTTGAGCTAGACTTTCATCATGATGATGCATAAGCCATTCTATTATAATAATATCGTCATAATATTCACAAATGTTGTGAAGAGTGACGCAAGCATTAACAATTCTTGTAGCAAAGTTAATATCGCATTCCATACGTTTGCAAATTACACGGAATCGAGCTTTAACGCGCCCAAAAGCATTCTCAACTACTCTTCTAGCTCCGCAAAGTATTTTATTGAAATTTTTTTCGAATTTCACTAAGCTCCAAATTTTCAGGATAAGGTTTTAATAAATGACGCGTTAAAGGAAATGTTGAATCACCTATCAAACATAGCGGAACAAGAGAATCGCCAAGCTCTTTACAATATTTATCAAATAGACTTGATTCTAAAATTGCTTTCAAAGAAGAATTCTGCAAAGTATAGCTGTCATTATTTCTACCAGGCGATCCAACACTTGTATAAATGAAACGGTATCGACAGTCTACAACGGAAAAAAGTACAATGGAATACCAACCTTTATAATTATAATAAGAAATTGCTTGATCTTTAAGGGCTAAAATAGGGATGTGGCATCCATCAACAGCTCCAACGCATTGTGGAAAACCAAGAATAGCTTCAAAATCTCTACTATGTTTATTTAAATTTTCCACTGACAATGGAATTTTAACATATTTAGGGAGCAAAATGTCATTAACAGCATTAATAAATTCATGAACAATTAAATTTGCTGTTGACTTTCCTATGCCAAAAAGGCTAGACACAACACGATACTCTTCACATGAAGCTAGATAATGTAATGCAAATGCAACACGTTTTACTACTAAAATAGGTTCTCGCATAGTTGTGGTACTTTTGCCTAAATGTGGATGCAATTCATTAACTAGGAAATTAAATGTGTTACGATTTACTCGAAAATGCTCTTTAAATTCACATTCCTCCATTTGATTAAAAATCTCATTAAACCATTGAGAACTTTTCGGCCTAACCCAAACTTTTCTTTCAATCAGATACCCTTGTTGATTTAACTTAAAGGAAGCTAAATCTAAATATGAAAATGGGTGATTGATTAATCATTGAATAATGTTCTACTTCTTGATCGAAGTACGGCCAAAACGCTTTCCATGTTTTTCCAATAGCTTTTTCCTTTACAGATGTCTCCCTAAAAAGCTATTAAAACTATATAAATATATTAAATAAATATAATACTTATTATATTACAATTCAAGGGAAATTAAAACACATTTTTAAAAACCATTTTGTTAGAATTGATACAGCATGATCTGTTAACAAAAACAAAAATGAAACATGTAATGCAATATGTATAAATTAAAAACAAAACACGTTGGCAAAAAAACATATCACTATAATTCATCTACAGACTTGCTTCATATCGCAAAAAAAAATTATTTGGTGAAAATACTAAATATATATAGCATAGAGATACAAAAAAAGGTATTTATAAAATAACATGACAAATTTAAAAAATATCATCAGATATGCATTTTAATGCTTGAAATCACAAATAATTTTTATTTTACATAAAGTAAAAATTCCTTTGATAATAGTAATATGGTAACATGAAAAAATATATATAAATAGAGCTTAATCTACAAGCTTGTACAATATTTCACTAACCATCTCTTTAGTTAAAACATTGAAAAACCTTATGAAATATATATTGCATAGAATTGTAAACAAGGTATACTGTTGAAAAAATACTGACCTTTCAACTTTAACATAATTACTAAAAAGATATCTTGACTAATAGAACACATTAATTTTTTATTAAAAATTTATAATATTCTACTTGGGCTTTAGACACATCTACTTGGGCTTTAGATGCATTTTCAATTGCATCGCATATACGCTCTAAAGCAACAACCTCTCTGATTCGTAGCTCTTGTGAACGGATTTGAACATCTAGATTTTTATTTGCTATTTTTAAATATTCAGAAGAAAAATTTGTTTTTTTATTTTTTCTCACTGGTTCAGTTTTTGCTATTTTATTCAAAGTTTTTTTATCATCAGAATTCCTTCGTTTATTGCAGCTTGATGTAGATTGAGTTAGTTCCTCATCAGGAATAGTGACAATTGATTGCACATCACTTGTATCATCCAAAGCTTCAATATTTAAAATACTGACAGTCTCCTTGCCATCTTCCATTGTGGCAATCTGTAAATAAAATATACACATTAAAAAAATTACGCATTTGAGAAATGATTATAAATCATGTTTCAATCAAAATTTATCTCTTGACTTTGAAAGACTTGACTTTCAAAAAGGATTTATTTAGACAATAGCATTTTACAAATTGATCTAGCCAATATTAAAAGATCCCTTTTATAATTCAAAAACTTTATATTATATGTTTTTGATCTTTATGTTTTAAGTCTGCCAAATGTTGCAAAACTAAAAACCTCTTAAACCTTATTTTGTAGAAATAGTTAACATGCTTGTTTATATTACTTTAAAAAATATATAGCACTTTAAAATATACAACAATAAATTATACTAAACTTACCTGACCATCTTGAAAATCTTGAGTAGAAAAGTTTTGACTTTAAGATAAAAGGTCATTGTCAAGGGAAGCTTTACCATCTATTATTTTGGCAACAATATTGTAAGGCCACCATTTACTAGGAGCTCCTCCCGATGACAACTTGAAGTTTTTCTCGTCTATGAAAAATATACATAAATATAAGTAAATATAAGCACATCATTAACACCGTATAAGATTAATCAAATAACTTTAAATGGACAAATTATTATTAACGAAATAATTATTAACAAAATTAACGAATTATTAACAAATAATAAAATAACGAATTATTAACAAAATAATTATCAACGAGCTGTAAATCTTCAATACTGAATAAGATTTAAGTAATTTTTAATATAACACTTAGTTACAAACTAAATTGCAATTAGATATTATTAAACATGGTTAGTTTTGTAAAATACTTTCAGTATTTCAGTAAGGTATCAAACATTAAATGTAGAATATGTACATACCTAAATTGCTTCCTCAAATTACTAATTTTAGATTGAATTTGATATCCAGTTAACGGAGGTACGATATTAAATGTGTTTGAAAATTCAGCTGCCATTTGTTTGTAAATATTTGTGTTTCTTCTTGCAGATGTTAATGCTTTGTAATTATCTTTCCATAAATCTAATAATACTCTTGTGTTAGCCATATTCCATACAAATTTATTTAAAGGAGATGTGCAAAGACCAATATTTGTTGTGCTAGCGTCAATACACTCTTTTTCTGAATGCTGAAACATTGTGTAAAATCAAAGTTTTACCTACTAAAAAGGATAAGTACATTGAATCTTGCAACAATAACAACAACAACAACAAAAAGAAGAGAAATAGTTAATAATAAAATTATTAACTATTTCTCTTCTTTTTTATGAAGTTTAACCTTTATTATAATAATAATAAAGGTTAAACTTCATAATTGCTATAAATGTTATGGGCTTAAATAACTTAATAATGTTATGGGCTTACTAAATAATTTAATAAATTGCCAAAAACTGGTAGCCAAGAGAACAGAAACTTTCAGATGCTACTTTTACTTTTTTTTACTTTTCCATGCAATGTGATAATTATGTTGTTTAATAACATTGATCTTTCAACACTATTGTTTATTTTTATTTTTAAATGTCAATAATTGTAGTACATTGTGGCAAAGATATAAGGTACAGTCATATCATTACAGTCAATCAATAATATATATTCTGAATAAAGGTCTTATTTTCACAATTATTCACAAACAGTAAATTAACTAATATTAATTAAATACAGAATATTTATGAGGAAAATACTAATGATAATGTTCACAAATTAAAATAACAAGATAAGACAAAGCTAATATAATAAAATATATATGACATATAAATAAAATATATGACAAAGCTCATATATAACAATATATACCAATAATAATATCATTAATAATATTAATATAAATAATAATAACAATGATGATAATAATAATAATAATATTAACAATTGTTATTGTTGTTATTGTTATCATTGTTATTACTATTATTATTCTATTATTATTATTATTAAAATAATTATTATTATTATTTTTATTATTATTATCACTGTTGGCAAGGCCAATGATAAACAACTCTGCTTATTAGTTCAAAGTTGAATTTTATAAATAAAATTAATATAAGTTTATTAAAAATGCATTAATAGCAATGCTTGCAAAGAATATAATTAAATAAAAACTATTAAACAATGAAAATTAAACTTTCTTAACGCAAGTTAAATGTTACCTTGAATTATACTTCTTGTTAATTCAAATTAAAACTGATCTTAATAAGAATAATACTGTCTTTGTAATGTTATATTTTAAGATTAAGTTTTTAAACACACATATATAACTTTTTTTTAAATTAATAATACACTAATAATTAAATTTCTATTCTATTTATATAAATTTTAAATATCGTTAAAAATAACATAAAATTTGTGATGGTCAAATAATTGTTTTTAAATAATTGCCCACCATCTGGTTTACTCATGATTGATCCCACACGAGTGGGATCGGAATTTCCTTGGTTGCATGAAATTACCACAAGTTTTTACTCAATGAATAAAGATATAAAATTATATTCGAAGAAATGTTTTGAATTCAATAAAAAAGATGGAAGGCAAAAACTAAAAGTTTCAAGGCAACATGTTGAAAGGCAAATAGTATATCGATAATCTTGTCTTGATATATGACCAAGACCTAGGGCAATGCAGAGATCAAGGACTAAAAACTCTGGTTAAGATGACAACAACTTTGTAAAAAAAATAGTTTGAGTTACTTTCACAACAAATTTGCATCTTGCAATGCATTTTTATAGAGTCATTTAGCTTATATGCATACGCTTATTTTAAAAATAGTTGAAAATAGGCACCATTTTTTATACAAAACCAAATAAATGTTCCGGAACATTTATTTGTTCTGGGTTGGCGGGACGGTACAAAAGTTCCTCAAATGTTCCTTGAATTTTTGTTCCATTTGCGTTCACACGAGAGGATATTTGTTCATGTTCCATGTTCCACGGAATGTTCCATCAAATGTACCCTCGTGTGAACAGCCTATATGACGTCTCTTTGCCGCAAAAACGCAAAATGAAAATGGTTTTAGTTAAGTGTTTTTAAAAAGAACTTGTTCTTAAAAGAAATCTTAAGAAAACCCTCGATTTTATTGGACGGTAAAAATAACAAAAAGTTAAATGTATATGTAAATATATATATATATATTATTGACCACAAAATAAAATACTCTTAGTTAATTTACGTAGTTTTTTTTGAATGTTTATTAAAGTATCTGCTTGGTGGTATAACCTAAGGTTACAATAATAGAAAATAATCATTTTTACTAAATTGACCAAATGATTAGATTGAACATCATTGTCAAACATAAGATCTCTATTATCAATAAAAATAGAACTGCGACGATATGCATGGTATTTAGACCATATGCATGGTCATCAGAGTTAGTTTTTTCCATTTCAAATTCTTCAATGAGCTGATGATCAATTGTTTTCATTTTAACATTTTTTAATGTACTCATTGCTAAAATTATCGATGGTGCTTGCTCAATGCATTTGGCCTGAGAAGAACCTGAAACACTTGTGTGCATTAATAATTTTTTTGTAGGCGGCTTGAAACTATTTTGCTGTGGGATTATTGTTATATCCTCCATAGCTCCTTATGGCACTAAAAAAACTTCCAAATGGTCTTGAGATAATTTGTAAGCAGAAAGATACCTTAACTACTATTGCTATTTTGAACATAGTCATTGCATATTCCCATAAAAGACTTCAGGCTTACAATCATCCCAATTAAGCCTGTTTTTCTCTGACTTAAATGTATAGACCCTCCATTGTTAGCACATTTAAGTGTGACTTATTCTATTGACTCTTTTATTTCTTTGAAAATAGCTTCTTTATTTTGTTATTGTAAACTAGCTTTAAAATTCTTAGCTAAGAAATTTCTGCTATTTAAAATGTCAAAAATGTTATTAATATTATAGATAAATTTTTTTGTTGCTTTGCTGTCTTCAAAATCCTTAGAGTACTGACTTTCTCTTAAATATTCTATTGCTTTTGCAACTTTTTGACTAAATGTTTGTGCAGCCAACTTGACCTTCATTTTTTCTTGAAACCAATTTATATGTCTTTTTGTAAGCTTTGTTGCTAAATTCAGCCCTTCCTTTTCTTGAATAGCTACTAATTTTTCAA